CTCTCTCCCCTCCCCACTCCCTCCCTTCCCCACCCCGCCCTCATCGGTCCTGGGAGGCTGGACGCCTGGGTGCTCGCTGGCGGCGCAGACCAGTCGCCTTCCCGGTGGACAGCGGTCTGGGCCCCAGCGAGCTCACGTCCCTGGCTGGGCAGTCGGCACCATCCGCGGGTCCCTCTTTGCGTCCCTCGGGCCCCGGTCCCCGTGTTCCGCTGTCCCCCGCCCCATGGAGCAGCTGCTGCGCTCCGAGCTGCGCACGGCGACCCTGCGCGCCTTTGGAAGCCGAGGCGGGGGCTGCATCAGCGAGGGGCGCGCCTACGACACGGACGCGGGGCCTGTGTTTGTGAAGGTCAACCACAGGGCGCAGGTGCGGGACGGCGCGGGGAGGTTGGGCGGCGGAGAGCGGGGTGAAGGGGGATGGGGCCGGGGAGACGGGCGAGGGCGGCCCTTCCTGGTCAGGCCTGGCGTCATTGTCGGGGTCAGCCTGCGGCCGTGGAGCGGACCTCTGCGGGCATCAGGGCTTCATCCGCTGCGGGATCAATTCTCCTGCGTGCGCGGGAGTTTTCGGTGTTTGGTTTAGTTTCTCCACCCATCAAGTGTGGGGGCGGTGAGGCTTGGAGACCCGGGCTGCTGCTGCCGCTCTCCTGCCCCAGCTCTGGGCTCCCATTTCCCGAGGCGCCCCCACCCCCACGCGGTCCTCAGCAGATGTGAAGAGGCTGGAAGGAAGCCAGGACCCCCAGGGACTCCAGTTCCCTCTACTCTCAGGCCCTGCTTGTGTCTGGACCTGGTCTCCATCTCCTGCTTACACGATTTCTGTTAAATATATATGGAAAATACAACGCTTTACAAGTGGAGCCACAGTGTATGTACCCAGGCCCTGAGAGCAGGCTGGGCCCCTTTGGGGTCCAGCAGTAGTGGGGTGTTGGCTGTGGGCTGGAGGGAATCCAGAGAGACCCCTCCCAGTCCCCTGCAGCACTGTCCAGGTCTGGGATGGACAAGGGCTGGGGGCTGGTCCAGCATCCTTGCTCTGTGGACACTGGGAACCATTGAAGAGTCTGATTTCAGAACCGGAATCCCTCAGAATAATAAGCCCCCCACCCACCCACGGGAAAGCGGGTTTTCTGGAACTGATGGTCCTGGGTGCTTGCAATCCCACGCGGTGGCTTCTGTCCAGGGCTGCAAGCCCCCGCCTGGCTGCAGAGGCCCCCGGTGGAGTGGGAGCTCACTGTGGTGCTCTGGACGCAGGCCCGGCAGATGTTTGAGGGGGAGGTGGCAAGCCTGGAGGCGCTCCGGAGCACAGGCCTGGTCCGGGCACCTCGGCCCATCAAGGTTATCGACCTGCCCGGGGGTGGGGCTGCCTTTGTGATGGAGCATCTGAAGATGAGGAGCTTGAGCAGGTGAGAGAGCGTGTGAGAGTGAGAGTGTGAGAGACAGGAGAAAGGGAGCAGCCTCTTGCTGAGCTGCCTGCAGAACTGGGTGGAGGTGCCAGAGGCAGAGATCCCACCTCTGTGCTGAGCTGTAGAGGGCGTTCTTGGCTTCTGGTGTAGGGCTGGTCTAGGTTAGTTTGGTTCCAATGAAGCTGCATCGGGTAAGCATGTAGGAACCATCCCTTGCCTGTGTTGTAAGGGGGCCCTCGTGCCAGCTCCATTTGGGGTGAGTGAGGTCTGATCTAGTAACTATCTGAGGTCCTTAAAATTTTTTAAATTATTAAAGTTATGTATATTGCCCGGGCCAGGTAGTTCAGTTGGAGCCCCGTCCCAATACACCAAGGTTGTGGGCTCGATCTCCAGTCAGGGCACACGGAAGAAGCAACCAATGATGTGTAAATAAGTGGAGCAAATCGATGTTCCTCTCTCTCTCTTACACCCATCAATAAAAATAAGTAAATAAAAAGTTATATATATTTGTAAAAAAGAAAGAGGTAGAAAATACAAACTCATTGAAGAAGACATAGAGCCACCCGTAAATCCATCAGCAGGCACTGGCTGCCACCCGCAATTTGGTGTTTTATCACCACCCTGGCCTTTTGAATTTTTTTAAATTAGATGTTTGGGATAATATTGGTTAATAACATTATATAAGTTTCAGGTGTACAACTTATAATACAACATCCGCACACTCCACTGCGTGCTCACTACTCAAAGTCTAGTCTTATATCACCTTGTATTTGAGACCCTTTTACCCTCTTCGTCTGCCGCACCCCCTTCCCCTCTGGTATAGTCTTTTTTTACATGTGATATATGTTTGTTTTTACAAAAACTGGGAGATGGTTTTTAACTTAACATTACTTTTTGAGCATTTGTCCCGTAATTCTCAGTACTTCTAAGGCTTCCGTTGATGCCCACTTGCTGCCCCACTCTTGGTGATTTTACTCTACGTTTTTGGAAAGGGTAACTACCTGCCTTTCAGTTTTCAGTTTAATAGTATGGAGAGTAGTTTTTGAGGTATTTGAAACATTTCTCAAAGTGGAACATGCTAGCAGGTTGTTGATATTTCTTACTTTAATGAGCTGCAATTTCTTCTCTCCTCAGTCAGGCATCAAAACTTGGAGACCAGGTGGCGGATTTGCACCTTTACAACCAGAAGCTCAGGGACAAGTTGAGGGAGGAGGC